TCCCTGGGAGGAGGGATGGGCTGTGGCCTCCTGCTGGTGGCCAGGCAGCGGGCTGGGTGGGAAGTGGGGCCCATGAGCCCCCGTCCATAGCCGCCTCTCTCATTCCACATCCAGGCACGGAGTTCGAGTACACCGACTCGGAGAGCGAGGTCAAGGTGCGGAAGCGGTCCCCTGCCGGGCTGCTGCGGCCCAAGAAGGGTCTGGGGGAGCCAGGCCCCTCCCTGGCCCCACCCGTGCCCGGGGCCCGGGGCTCTGGTCCCACCAGCCCCAACAAGGCCAAGGCAGCGGTGGAGAAGGGGCGCAAGGCCCGCCGGCTGCGGGGCCCCAAGGAACCCGGCTTCGAGGCGGGGCCCGAGGCCAGCGACGACGACCTGTGGACGCGGCGGCGCAGCGAGCGCATCTTCCTGCACGACGCCTCGGCCGCCGCCCCGGCGCCCAGCACGGCGCCTGCTGTCGCCAAGCCCAGCCGCTGCGGCAAGGGCGGCCCGCTGAGCCCACGCAAGGACACAGGCCGCGCCAAGGACAGGAAGGACCCCAGGAAGGTAGGAGCTGGGTGCAGGGGTGGGGCCCCCTGATCGCCGTCTCGGGAGGGGGCCCCGCTGTCCGCACAGGCCCTGAGCTGCCCGCCGGCCTCCCGCCTCGCACAGGCCCTCTGACTCAGTAACATTCCAAACGTGTGCGTGTGCGTGTGCACCTGAGGGGCACGGACCCCAAAGAAACTGCAGTTATCCAACGCCAGACGCCGCTCTGACGCTGTGCCCGCGGTGCCTCTCCCGGCGGCTCCCAGAAGGCACGGGCGCCGAGCGAGTGCCGAGAGCTGCCCGCAGCACACGTGGCATCTAAGGTCCCTGCGGGAACTGCCGTGTGCCCCGCGGCGGGGTTTCTGCTGGTGACAGAGTCCCAGGCCCTGCTGGTCCCGCTGTGGCTTGTGGCCTCTGCTCACACCTCGCTGCCTCCGGGGTCATGAACACAGACGGGTGTGCCCTTTCCTCCACGTGCGAAGGCTCCCCCCGGCCGAGAGCACCCAGGCCGAGAGCTCCCAGGCCGAGGGCTCCCAGGCCGAGAGCTCCCAGGCCGAGAGCACCCAGGCCGAGGGCTCCCAGGCCAAGGGCACCCAGGCCGAGGGCACCCAGGCCGAGGGCTCCCAGGCCGAGGGCACCCAGGCCGAGGGCTCCCAGGCCGAGGGCACCCAGGCCGAGGGCTCCCAGGCCGAGGGCACCCAGGCCGAGGGCTCCCAGGCCGAGGGCACCCAGGCCGAGGGCTCCCAGGCCGAGGGCACCCAGGCCGAGGGCTCCCAGGCCGAGGGCACCCAGGCCGAGGGCTCCCAGGCCGAGGGCTCCCAGGCCGAGAGCTCCCAGGCCGAGAGCACCCAGGCCGAGAGCATGTGCGCTCTCAGCTCCAGCTGCTAGGAGGCTGGTGGCCAGTTGTCCCCCTTCAAGGTCACGTTCAGGGCTACAGCCAGTGGCTGCGCCTGCGGCCTCCACCCCGTCCCTGTGGAGGATGCACTGACGGGACAGTGACCTAGAGTCGCAGAAAGGGGTGAGGCTGCACCGACCCCTGGCCGCAGGGATGGTGAGGCAGGGCCGCAACCGGGTCACTCCCAGGCACCTCCGTGTGTGCGCACCCCTTGCTTCCTCGGGGCTGAGCCACCGCTGAGGCTTCCGGGGCCTTGGACAGGAGGCGCTGCGTGATGATGATGGCGATGTCA